GGGGCGCGGGGAGAGAGGGAGGGGACACTTCCCTTCCCATGTAATCCAGACAAGCATCTGGACAGGAGGGTTGCCCATATCAGGAACAACGGGACGAATCTGTCTATCCGGATAATAGCCCTGATTTCCAGTTCAGGGTCCAATCAGTTTCCTCATCTGTCATTGTTTCCATCCACTGTAACCATGGCACTGTACCAGTGCAATAATAACGCAGCCGACTTCATCACTCGTCATAGATGTTGACACATCCTCATCCTCGCTCATTGTTTTCACATGATTGGCTTTCGGAATGTCGACAATATTCTGAACAAGATGTTCAAGCGTTCTTTGTAAGACATGGGGGCTCGCTCCACTACACAACATCCGAAATATATCTGGACGTGTTAGGGGTAGATCCGTCCAAGTGCATCTGCAAAAGCACCCAGTCCAGATACTTCATGAATGTTGCGTAGTGGGGCGAGTCCCATATCCTGCCAATTCTTATCGCCATCTCAACAGTGAGCGACATAAACAAACAGGAGGCATATGAACTGTCACTGACATGGACAAAGGGTTTTGGGCAAGCCCTCGAAAGAACGCAAGCAATAACATGTCCCACGGGGAGAATGAAGGAATTTCATTTGCAACTTCTTGTACGCAAGCATGCCTACCCCAGAGGTGTAGGCCCGAAGGCTGCTCTCCAGATTCTCCAGGGGTACACCCACATCCTCCAGCAAATACTTCTTTGCCACCTGTTCTTCGTCCAGAACCTTCAAGTACAAGGTCGCCCTGTCGCGCACCTGCATCAATCGATGCAAGTCATATCAGAATGTCAGGAGGCACTTGACTCTACCATAGGGCATATTCACACTAGCTCTATCTTAAATGTACCTGAGCGAAATCATGACTCTACTTGGATGCATCTGACTGCAATTTTGTCCATAAGTAAAAAGGTCCTACTGTGAGCATGCCCTCAGTTTCAATCAGACGCATGGGTAATCATGACCCATGTCCTCACAAGACGCCACCTTTATCAGTGAATTGACGATGCTAACATGCAAAGCAATATATGCTTGACATGCAAAATACTGTAATCCTATTGTAGACGTCTTTTTTTTTAATTATATGTGGATGTTTAGCATGCAACAAACCCCGACATATTAGAAGCTCGTGAATGTCGAAATACAAGTCTGACTCATCGCAGCATTAATGTCTCCAAAAATCATATATGAAACCATGCCCATCGTACATGTAGTCTCCCAATGTCTCGAACTCAGAGTGAGGAGAGGGGGAGAAGAGACTGAGAGGAGGAGGAGTAGCGTGTTCGCAAGTATCAACGAAGCAGCAGTCTCTCCCCAAGCCCACTTCCTCGTCGGGCATCTCCCTGACTCGCCACTTCAGCAATACAGTTCTCCTCTGACGATCTCTGACATATACAACGAACAGGTCGACACGTTGCGGCTTCGCCCGCAAAAACAGAAAAAGAAAACAGCACAAAAGAAAGAAAACGCATAAGGAACTGCCCTATCATATGCCGCTTCTTGCACAATAAGAAAAAGAAGAGACTGAGAGCAGACGAAAACCCGCGTGCAAGAAAATAGCAGGGAATACCACCGAACATTCTTTTTTCTTCATCTTTGCGTGTTTTGTTTGGGGAGCTGTTACCTTTGCAGCATCGTTTTTGTTTCGTGCTGTGCAAGAACTCTGGACTTTTCTGAGAAAATCCAGTCCATTGTCCAGTTTATGTTTTTCGTAAAGATTCAGAATCAGACTTTGTTTGCTGTGTTCTCCGGATATGTTTGTGATCAAGCGATCTTGCATGTATGCCCCATGCTTACTTGCTGAGTTTGGACACTGTGTGTGCAAGTGCAAGCGCGTGTGGGTGAGTCTCAGTTTGGTGGGCTCGAATGATGTCATTGACGATTGCCCTGGGGAAGTGTTGGAAGGCGCCTCCAACTATAGGAGTGACACTGATGTTAAGCAGGTTTTGCATTGTATGAATGAAAGAATCAGCATTCAATCTGCTTGGCAGTTGTTCTTCGGGTGGGGGACTTGTCGGGAGTGGCGTTGACATGAGAGCCATAATGCCAGGCGTGCATCTTGGAACATTTCCTGGAAGGCAAAAGGCAAAGAAGAAACGAAGTAGCACGCGTCAGAGTCACATAGCTTGGCACAGTCCCCCCCCCTTCTCTCTCTTTCTCTCTCTCTCTCTCTCTCTCTCTCTCTCTCTCTCTCTCTCTCTCTCTCTNTCTCTCTCTCTCTCTCTCTCTCTCTCTCTCGCACACACACACACACAAAAGCACACATAAGGGGAAAAAAAAGAAATACATAAAAATCGCTCCTCGTGGTGCTGCCACGCGGCGAGATTTTGGGCCTTCCACCTCCCCCCTAGCCACCGACTTCCTAATCTTAATCGACTCCCCCGTCTCTCTCTCTCTCTCTCTCTCTCTCTCTCTCTCTCTCTCTCTCTCTCTCTCTCTCTCTCTCTCTCTCTCTCTCTCATCCCACTGCTGACTTTCCAGTAACTGTCCGCCCTTCCCTGTCCCTATCACTCTCTCACACGCAGAAAAAGAGATGCGAAAGGCCGACTCCACCTAATCCTCCTCCCTTGCCCCGTCTCTCTCTCTCTCTCTCTCTCTCTCTCTCTCTCTCTCTCTCTCTCTCACACACACACACACACACACAAAAGCACACACAAGGGGGAAAAGAAGAAATACAGAAAAAAACGCTCCTCATGGCGCTGCCACACAGCACGATTTTGGGCCTTCCACACTCCACCTTAGCCCTTCCCCCCTTCCCCGTCCCCCCATCTTTCCCCCATCCATGCCATATACCGCTATCCCTCCCACTCTTCCCCTTTGTCACGTTGTGGCATGCGCCCCCTCCTCTTCCTCCCACTCCACCCACGCTATCGCTCTGCGCTCTCTCTCTCTCTCTCTCTCTCCACCTTTACCTGACCTCTTTCCTTGCTCCGTACCCCACCCAACCTCTGCCCTCCCTCCCTCCTTCCATCTGCCATCCCACCGCCCGACTTGACCCTGCCATCTTTCCCCTTCCTCCCGGCCTCCTTCCACCTCCTCTTCCTCTTCACGCTTTTTCCCATGCTCGCCTCCCCCTTACCTCTTCCCTTCCTCCATACGTCACTCAACCTCTAAACTACGTTCTGCTTTCTGTCCTCCCTTCACCCTACTTCTCCCTGCCGCCTCCCTGTTCTCCCAACCTTTGGACCTTCTATTAAACCTCCCTCTGCCCTCCCTCGCCTGGCCACCTGACTCCCCTTCCTTCGCCCAATCTCCGCCTGACCTCCTTCCCTCTGTCTCCTCTGTCCTACTCCTTCCTCCGCCCAATTTGCACTGACCTCTTCCTTCCCCCAATCTCCTTCCTCCCCTTCCTTCCTTGGCCCAATCTCCACCTGACCTCCTGCTTCCGCCCTACTCTCTACCGCCTTTCCCCTCCCTATAGGCCTCCTCCGCACCTTCTCTTCAACCTCCCTCTCGCCTCCGTCCGCCTGGCCGCCTTATTCCCCTTCGCTCGCCCCCTTCGTTCGCCTGATTTTTGTCTGACCGCCTCCTTTTCTCAATCTCCTCCCTCCCCTTCCTTCCTCAGCCCGATCACCACCTGACCTCCTACTTCCATTCATCCCTCCGTCCTACTCCCTACCTCCCCCTTCCTACCTCGACCAGCCACCCTTCCTTCCTAACGCCCGACGTAGGAAATACTTCTTTCCTTTATCTGGTGGACGTAAACACGCCATTTGTTATCAAGATCCTCCATTTCTTTTAAGATCTCAACACTGTTGCACACGCGCAAGAAGGAGACGGGGAAAGCAGGAGAGAAAGAAACACATTTCACCCAACACACTTCCTTCCTCGCACCTTCTTTGTCCTTGTCTGTCTCTTCAACCACCATGTCTTCTGCCTCCTCAAGATCTTCCTCAACATTCTCCCTCGGTCTTTTCTTTTTCGAGAGGTCTTATCAACTGCCCTGCGCCATGTATTTCAGGCTATTTCCATATTTCACTATCTTCCTCCCCAATCCCTACACACACCACATTGAGTCAGCTCTCTCTCTCTCTCTCTCTCTCTCTCTCTCTCTCTCCCCCCCCCCCCCCCCCCCCCCCCCCCCCCGGTGTGTGCGTCTGTGTGCGACCGCACGCGCGAGAGCACACGCTCGCCCTTATTCACATTGAAAAAACAAGTGGCGCTAAGCCTTAATGCAAATTGAGAAAGCTAAGAAAAACGGAATGCACTCTCTATATCCTCCCAGATAAGGGAGCACGAAGCGAGGGACGACGGAGGGCCGAGGAATGTAATGCCAGCGGAGGGAGGAGGGAGAAGGCGAGGGAAGAAAGAAGGAGAAAGAGAGGAAGGAGGGAGGGCGGGCCAGGGGTGAGGGAGGGAGGAGTGAGGGTCGAGGCAGGAATGGAGGACTGGCAGAGGGAGGTAGGAGAGAGGGCCGAGGAAGGAGGGATGGTGGTGGTGCCTCTGGTGCCTCTCTCTCTCTGACTCTCTCTCTCTCTCTCTAGAGGAGAGGACGGGCCGAGAGAGAGAGAGAGAGAGAGAGAGAGAGAGAGAGAGAGAGAGAGAGAGAGAGAGAGAGAGAGAGAGAGAGCATGGATTCACGATGAGCACGGATCCACGATGAGCACCGAGCACGAAAATCATGTATCCACAATGAGCACGAAAACCGTGGATCAACGATGAGCACCGAAATCACGTATCCACAATGAGCACGAAAAGAACGGATCAACAATGAGCACCGAGCACCAAAGAAAAGCATGGATCCTGTTACAGACCCAGCCAAGGCTCGATCCCTGGTCCGCGGGTTACCACCAGCCAGGCTGCTATTCTGTTTTTTTTTGAGTCTCTGATCTCCAGTTCCTTATTGTTGGCGCTCATTCTCAAATCCCCCCTCTGCCACTTTCGGATTTCAGACTTGGCGCCATCCGACATTCTGGCGCCTAGGCTCACACCTTCGATTTTCAATTCAGGCCCGAGGCAATTGCACTTTTGCCCTCGGACTCAACTTGAGTCTGATACTTCCGGACTCGAGCTGAGTTCGGGGACTCGGTTTTAAGCCTCAGTGCTTGTGCTTCAGTCTAACTTGCTGCGACATTGTGTACAAAACCAAGCTTGCGACTTTGGGCCTTTGCCACTTTGTGTTCGTGTCCGTCGAGTCGTGTCCAGTCCGTGTCGAGTTGAGTGAGTGTGTGTGTGCGCTCTCACTCCCTCCCTCTCTCTTCCCCGACCTCGCTGCTCTGCCTCAGCCCCCTCACATTGGTATCGGAGCGGCTTCGGCCCTCCCTCCCACCCTGTCCCATCATTGTCGTCGTCGACCCTGTCACGGTCGTTGCCACATCATCAACATCATCATTCCCCGTCACCGTCGACGTCGCCACGTCATCACCACCGTCGTCTCCGTCGTCACTGCCACGTCATCATCAGCGTTTAATCGTACCCATCGATGCCGCCACATCATCGCCATCGTCGTTGCTGCCACGTCATCATCACCGCCGCCACTGCCATCATCGACGCGCACATAAGTTACCAGCAATTTTTTATTCTTTCTTCCTTTTCTTCCTTCTCC